CTCCTTTGTTCTTATTGTCAAATGCTTATATGAACCAAGCATGTTGAAAACCTCACTTATCTATATTACAAACTCGAGGTTGTGTTGTCATCAATCACCAAAAAGAGAGAGATTGAAAGCATCTAGGCCCCTAGTTGGGTTGTGGTGATTAATGACGACACGAGATTACTATGACTAACGTGTGTTTTGTAGAGGCAATTTGAGTTAGGTCATGGTAATGGAAATTGATTGGGCAATCATGATTGTCATGCCCCTGTCGATGGAAATCGTTTTGGTTTTCAAAGGATGGACGACAAGGTTAAGGACGGACTAGTTCTAAGTATCGTTTGGTGTTAGAGAGACACTTAGGGTAGTTTAGAACTTTGTTTTTCCTTTAGCCATACTATTAAGGGGGGTACGGGCTAGTAGCTTGACCTAGGTGAGTCTAATGGATTAGGTGTGGTGCACACATGTCAAACTTAGCACTAGGTAGCTCAGGAATAGCCCTAAGATCGATAGAAGTCAACTTCATTCTTGAAGGATTTCAAATTGGAAGTGAATGGAGGATCAAATGACTGACCAGACACTGGTTTGGTTGTGACCAGACGTAGCGTGAAGGGTCCAATCAGTTCATTTGATCAGCAGCTACAGTCATGTACTGACCGGACGCTAAACAGTACATGACCGGACGCTAGGGTGCCTGCGTCCGATCAACATCAGAGAGCATCTATAGGGGCATTTTGCTGACCGAACGCGTCCGGTGGGTGATGACCGAATGCAGGTCAGAGTCCGGTCAGAGCTAATGGCTCTATCTGACACAATGATGTGTACTACTGACCGGAGCGTCCGGTCACCCTGACCGGCGTGTCCGGTCACCCCGAAACTTGCTGAGTTGGCCTCCAACCGTTATGTTTTGAATGAGGGGGTATAAATACTTATCCCACTCGTTCATCGGAGCTCTCTTATCCAATTGTTCAGCTGTGAAACGCCTTTGGAGTGCAAGGGAGAGCAAGAGCCTAGTGTGGTGATTGAGAGTTGATAATCCAAGATTAAGGACCTCACTAGTGCATAGGGAGTAGCAAGTGTGCATCCATCTTTCTCATTAGGCTTGTCTTGTTCAAGTGAGAGTTTGTGCTTGTTACTCTTGGTGATCGCCATTACCTAGATAGCTCGGTGGTGGTTGGGAGCTTGGTGATCATTTGGTAGAGCTTGTGGATGACCCAAGTCATGTTGTGAGCGGTTGTGGGTGATTCACCATGATGGAGTGTCACATAATCGGCCCATAGAGAGCACTTGATCCTTGCGTGGATCAAAGGGGAGCTACACCCTTGCGCGGGTGCTCCAACGAGGACTAGTGGGGAGTGGCGACTCTCCGATACCTCGGGAAAATATCATCGCGTTCCTTTCCCTCTCTTTATTTTGAGTATTTACATTTGAGCAATTCATTTCATGTCTTTACATTCCTAGAATTGCCATGCTAGAGTAGGATTGGAACCTAGGATGCAAAACTTTTGTACGACGGAACAATAGAAACACATTCTAGACACAAGGGGTGAAATGGGCTAAGTGTAGGGCTTAATTATTGCAAAAAATTTAGAATTAGCCCAATTCATCCCCCCCCCTCTTGGGCATATTGATCCTTTCAAGGTGGCCAGGAACGGTCAAGCACACAACATGGGTAGTTGCGCATGGCCAGTGGTGAGGTTAGTCTTGAGGACTCGTGGTCTAGAGGGATGTGGGATGTGGTCTATTGGTTTTGCATTGTATTAGATGACTTGTATTAGATGACTTAGGCGTCATTCGGTTAGCCCGGAACGGGCCATTCTAGGGCCCATTCCGGGGGGAACAGAGCAGTTGTTTCAAAAACCAGAGTATTCTGGCCAGGATCGAAAGCTGGTTTGGCCACTGCCGAATGAGCCCTTAGTGAAGATCGATGCATGATGACTAGGTTGCAGATGATGGCATGTGAACATATAGTATTTCAATGATCAGGACCAATCCGCTCATGTTTGCCACCATCGGTCGATGTAGTCACAGAGCTCACAAGCCCTTCATCACTAATATTGTAACTACTATAGTGCAACAAAGAGAGAGCCATATGATAGTTGTTCGAAAGAACATCACCATCACTACCGGGATCCTGGGACAAGCCTCCATGGCCAGGAAACTCATAGCCAATCACAACCTATGGAAGAAACCATCAAAGTGAAACTCATAGACAATCACACCCTATGGAGGAAACCATCAAACTAAGATGGCTAATAGACGAACTCTAGAAGATCACCATCTAGTAGATATAGTAAAGAGATAGATCTGGCTCCTCCTTCCTACCAGTGGCTTAGTAGAGGGGAAAAGAGAGGGGACCTAAGGCTGGTGCCAAAAAGAATTTTTCTTCGGTAACAGCGATGCTTGGTTATCTCTTTCGGGGACTACTACCATACTAGAGGCAGCAACATAGTGTCAAAAACACTTAGGCTTTGTTTGGATGCTCATGTATCCACCTCAATCCATATGTGTTGGAGTGATTTGGTGTGGAATTTAGTTTAAGTTCCACAGCAAGCCACTTCAACATGTACTCTATGGATTAAGGTGGATACATGGGTATCCGATTAAGGCCTTAAGTGGGAAAAAAAACAGGCCAAACACAGCCCATGCATGAACCGGATAACATTACAGCTAAAGCCCAATAGCAAGCACCATACACACACCGAAGCAGTGGGGCTTATTTGGTGGCCCACTAGGAAGAATGGAAGGCATCAGCTAGAGCTAGCTCTCCACATATCCTTCCTCTGTATGAATTTTATTACTACTGCTTTCGCCTCAGAAAATTTGATGTTCTACGATACAAAAATTGTTTCAGAAAACTTGACGTTTTAGCTCATAAATACTAGGTTAGGTCTATATTATCAACCTGAATACTAAGGTATGCATGCCTTCACGCATTCCTTTTAATTAGTGTACATTGTCCTTTTAATTTCCATCAGTACTAGTATGTCCCAAAACTCCTAAAACATCGAGTATTTTGGGACGACGGAGTATTACCCAATTTTGTTTCTTCATAAAATTTGCATGGTACAAACGGAAGAATGGGACTAACAAATATACACGCGAAGTATTCATAAACATATATATATGAGGCATACAAAGACACGAATGCTAGCAACACGTGGACCAAATTGGTCCATGTGCAGCATCATAGCATCCTGTTGTTAACTATTCTACAGGTTACATGATTGTATAACTACCTTACACATCATCCATGCAGAAGTATACCCAGATCCCTGCTGTTGTGCATGTGCTTGCTTCTTTCCCCGGCACTTTGACAAGTACTTACTAGTGGCCGGGCCACCGATCGATATGTATAAGAAACCATCGATCTATCTGAAAAGTCATTACGCAATCTCTAGATTTCATATGAGATTCCAACTTTCAGTAGCTTGCCATGTGGAATCGATAACATCTTCTCTTCTTGCATGAAGTTCTTCCTCAGGAAGGAGTATATGTAGTTGACCACAATCTTCTTAAGGAGCGAGGACTGAGGCAATGCCACCACCTCAGCCTCTCCAAGAATGTACACCACACCTTTCTCTGCTTCTCTTTGAATCACCTTCTGTTCCTCCTCAATCTTGGCTAACTCCTCGATATTCATCTTTGATGCCTGCTCATTAACAACCACCATCAATTTTACTATACTACAATAAATAATAGAACACAGTTACTTAGCTCAATTATTTAGTAGATTTGCCACCTGAAACTGCGGTAGACGATTGCTCAAACCATTTGACAGTGTTGTGAGCTCGGAGAAGGATTGGATCGGCGTAATCATCTCCTCAGCATAGATGGCATGGCTTCCAGACGGCTTGTCCCGAGACAAGCTCTGATCGCGAGAAATTGGATAGCTAACATTCTGCATCTCATCCACTGAGTAGAGGTTGACATCTCGTATGTAGTACTGGAGACTCTCAACCAGAGCAACGACAAAGTCTTCAGCCTCCTCACCAATGGAGTCCCGGTACCCATACCGCGCCACGCATCGAAATACTTTGTACTCCTTGGGCTCTACTTGTCGGAAGAGGAAGCGCTCGGCAGCGTCGACATAGGGAACTTGCAAATGCTTGATGGAGACGAAGATCAGGACCGAGTGAATGGCTGGGACCTTCTCGATGAGGTGAGGGAATATGGGTGGGATGCCTTGCACTAGCTCAGTGTAGAAGAGCTCAACTCCAGGGATCCTCATCAGATCATGCTTCTCAAGCAGTTTCTCAGCCTTAGCAGGGGATAAGGTGTGCTTCAGCTCGTATTTGTACCGTTTGACGTGCACGTAATGCCAAACGATCATCACCACCATCAGGACTGCCGACATGACCACGGGCACGTATGGTCCATGAGTGAACTTGTATAGCACGGATGATAGGTAGATGGACTCAGTTGGAATGAAGACGATGAAGAAGAGCACAATCCACAAGATATTGATTTTCCACACCAAGAGCATCACGATTGTCATCAGCAGTGTCGTGATGAGCATCACAAGGATGACACAGATTTCTGTCAGTTATGAAGAAACATGATGGTTAGAGAGGTTTGTAAAATTTAGCGTTTGTAAAATTTAGCTTTTTTGTTATAGAGGACAGTGCGATATGTGACGTTAAACACACACAGTTCATACCATGGGCTTTTCCGATAATGGTGGTTGTCTTGAAACTGACAGTCACCACGCAAGCAGCTATACAAAGCAGTAAGTTAACTTCAGGAACATACAGCTGTCCATGAAACCTCTTTGATGTGTGCAGTATCCTAACCCTCGGGAAGCAACTGAGTGTTTGTAAATGTGAAACAGTTGCAAAGGCACATGAGATCATTGCTTGGCTTCCTATGATTGATGCCGCAATTGCCAAGATAAATGTCGGCCAGAACAGAGAGCCTGAATTTTCAAGAACGAGAAGCACATCAAGTTTCAGAACAATTATTTATATAGAGAGATGTATGTACTAAATAAATATATTATAGGAGTATATGCTTACTTGGGATTGATCTAAAGAAAGTGTCAGCAAAATGTTCGGGGTGCTTCCTTAGGTATGCTGCTTGTCCGATGTAAGTAAGCAATACAGATGGCAGTAATCCAAGGCTAAAGCTTAACTGAAAAGTTCCGAAAGAAAAGTTGTTTAGTATGACGACAATACGCCTATATATACTTCTTTTAGAACATTCTTATTTTTGAATCAAAGTTTAGGTATCTGTTTTTTTATATCACTTCATTAACCAATATGAACCTAGTATTATCATGTCACTATATATCTGCATCAAACCATGTTTGCACATACCTGAATGGATCTAATGCTGAAGTATCCCAGATTAGCAAAAAGAGCTTCTGTTCCTGTGGAGAGTACATGCATGCATGGTACAATATATGTTAGTATATGTAAATCATATATTTTCTTAGTTACATCAAAGATAAGTTCTTCCCTAGGCTTTGTTCGTTTGATCCCAAAATCAAAGGATTGAAGGGGATCGAAGGGCCGGGATGGAGAGGGACTTTGACTTGTAGGGGATTTAATCCCACTCAATCCCCTCCAACCCTCTTTGTTCTAAACTCAAACGAACAGTCCCTAAGTATGGCTAACTAGATTTGCAAAATATAACCTGTAAAAACAAGGAGGATGTCACCAAGTGAGATCCATCCTTCTTTCTTGTTTCTCCTGAAATAGTCAATGATGTATTTTGGGTTGAACGACCTCAATACACCAACATCATATTTGATCAGGTTATAGAGCCCAACTCCTCCAATCAGAAGCAACCACAGCAGGATGATTGGTGCGAACGAGTAGCCAACTTTGTCAGTTCCGAATCGTTGGATAGCAAACAGAACTACCAAAATTGCCACGGTGATCCATACTATTTGATCTGTGCGAAAATTAAAACAAGCTTTGCATTAGCTGATGTTGTAGCTTATTGACCGCGTCAATCCTTCTCTAACTATTTGCTAAAGTTAATGTCTTCTAAGTTCTAACTAAGATTAAGTTAAGATTTTCAGGGATCATATATATCAGGAAAGATAGCATGATTTCTACACCTGTCTTTGAAAAAAAAATATTCTCTACAGGTCCTGATGCATATTTTGTTGTTAATTAATTACCTGTGGTCAAATCAGGCACCTTTTCCTTCAGGCCACTTACAGCTGAGAGCACTGAGTATTTTGTGAGGACAAGCAGCAAGAATCAGATGACATTGTTAAAACCTCTATAGATGTTGAGGTGATATTATCTGTAAAGTATAGATGAGTTTCTTTATACAGTACCCGAAATAGGAGGAGTTAGAACAGCGTCGCTGATGACCATCGCAATTGCAAGGATGGTAAGGAGGAACAGGGAAATCTTGGCCGACTTGCTTGTCTCAAGCAAATGCTTCAGCCAGTGAGCTCTCCTCAGTGTGGCCGACGACGGCTTTTCATGACTGTTGTAGCTGGAGACCAGCTCATCTTCGGCCTGATGGTTAGGGAGCAGACTCACCTTGGCATATCTCGAAATCAAAGAGTAGAGTGCAAACGTTCCTCCTGATATCAATCGTTAGTTAATTACATTATTTACTATCATATATAATATTTTTTATCAAATTAAATTGTATGGCATGCATGGCACTAACCATCCCCGTCATCGTTGGCGTGGAGCGCAACCACGACGATCTTGATGACGGTGAAGAGCATGAAGCTGTAGATGATGAGGGAGAGCACCATCAGGACGTCGTCAGGGTGGCCAACGCCGCCGCCGTGGCCGAAGGTGGTGGAGTAGACATATAGCGGCGACGTGCCAACGTCGCCGTACAGGATCCCCACGCACTGGAACGCCAGCCGCAGCGTCGTCCCCCAGCTATCCTGCATGCACGCGTATGCATATACGTACGGCCGATCCATGGTCAATAGTCAGTCAGATGGGCAAAACATGGACTGACTGAACACGACGTGTCTAACTCTACCACCGTTGCATTTGCATTGCATGCATATTCGAGAGTTACTTGGACGTGAAGCAGAGTACGTACATGATCAGCGTGTCCTGCGCCGCCAGCAGCACGGTGGTGATGACCCGTCACCGCCTCCCGGAACAGCGAGTCCTGCCGATCCACGATGGACGACGACGACGCTCCATCCAGGCTGCCGCTCTTGATGTCGACGACGACGACCTCCGGCGGCCGGTCGCCATCTCTACCCCTCTCGGCAGTGAGAACCATCGAGGTTAATTGGACTCTTCTTCCTTACTATAGCGCTACTAGCTAGTAGGTTGCTCGATCTGTACCACTCCGCTATCTGCTTGTTGCTTATTCTTCGATCTCTCTACTACAATCTAGTCTATGCACAAGTCCTGTGTGTTCATGGTAGCTTACCAACCATCTGAGATCGCTTCTGCCTTTTATAGGCAGAGCAGAGTGTACGTGTGGTGGTGGCTGCTAAGTCCGTTCCTCCATGTGATTCCCTAATAACGTACTCTGCCGTTTTTAGGTCTGCCGTTGGTTTTGCTACTGACTTTGCTTGTGCTGCTGCCATCATCGTTTACTTCGCATGCATGGCGCGCAACGAGTTGCGAAATTTGACTCGGCATGAATGCATGCATGCGCTCCGATCCCAGGCCTCCCACGCGACGCCAAATCAAAGCCCGGATTTTAAACGACGCATATTATCGCCCTATCTTATCTATGGGCTATGGCGCCGCGCAAGTTTATATATATTACTTACGACGGAATGACTGGGACATCACGATGGGCGGCCGACAAAATTAAAGCTCATTTATTTCGTGTCTGCTTATATATCCAGTGTTAAGTATTAATAACTAACTATATATATTTATTATTCATCATGGGTTACGTATCAAAGATGGGATACGCATGGTAATTAAGCTGACATTTTCACCATTGACTTGTTGTTAGTTGGTTTATTTCGAGGGGTCTTACGTATTGTTTCTGGCTCTCAATTGCTTTGTTCCTTCTTGTTGCTTGCTTTCTTTGCTTTTTTATTATTCATTCACCCGTACCTCAATTCCGTACAAAAAGTCTATCAACATGTGCTCCTGCATGGGCTATGACCTCCGGAGGCTTAAGCTTTACATGTTCACGTTTAACTGACACTATTGGATTCAGGTTCTTTGCCGAGTGCCTGAGGCACTCGGCAAAGGCCAAATTGTACTTGGCAAAGCCTTTACCGAGTGCGGCACTCGGCAAAGAACACACGGTAAAAAATTGATCGACAAAGACCTCTTTGCCGAGTGTTTTTTATCGGGCACTCGGCAAAGAAAAGCGACCGTCACGGCGCCGGCATCGTTGACGGTCGCTTTGCCGAGTGCCAATCCTAGACACTCGGCAAAGATTTTTTTATTTTTTAAAAAAAATTCTTTGTCGAGTGCTCCTTGGCCGGCGCTCGGCAAAGTTTGATTTTTTTTTAAATAAAAAATCTTTGCCGAGTGCCCTCTAGCCGGCACTCGGCAAAGTTTGAATTTTTTTTAAAAAAAAATTATTTGCCGAGTGCCCTCTGGTCGGCACTCGGCAAAGTTTGAATTTTTTTTTCTAAAAATTCTTTGTCGAGTGCCCCCTGGCCGGCGCTTGGCAAAGTTTGAATTTTTTTATAAAAAAAAATCTTTGCCGAGTGCCCTCTGGCCGGCACTCGGCAAAGTTTGATTTTTTTTAAAAAAAAATCTTTGCCGAGTGCCATGGTCATGGCACTCGGCAAAGCTGGAAAAAAACCATTTTTCCAGTTTTACCGAGTGCTGTGACCATGGCACTCGGCAAACGGGGTCCTTTGCCGAGTGCAACACTTGACAAAGTGACCCAAAACGGCAATTTTTAATTTTTTTTACATTCCATCATGACAAATAAATTCATACAAACATCCATCACATATATATCTCATCCATCACATATATATCTCATCCATCCACACATCCATACGCACATATCACATCCATCACAATATATATCACAGCGGTCGGCCGTGTGCGAAGTTCCTCGCAGGGCGTCACCACAAAATGATACAACAGTGGCTTTCAGTTCATGACTAAAAGCTAAGTTCAGAAAAAAAAAATGACTGTAAACATTTGATGTATCAGGACCCTGGTTTATCATACAATAGAGATGAAGATGGTGATCTGTAACTACAACCAATGAGACTGTACAATATCGTTCAAGCATTAATTCCACATAATGCTGCTCTTACCAATTTTTAAGTTTTGATTGAAACTCAAGGGCCAATTCAAACCCCTTCAGGTCAGCAGAACCTACCAATTCCAAACCTACTACCGAAACATAAGGAGTTCCTGACTTTTCTGAAGCTATCAGAACAGAAGAAATACAGCCAGTTCTTATCCCAATGCATCTGATGCAGCTTGTACACTTGGTTTTCTGAACAGATGGATTGTTATGTCGTTGTCAGCAATCTTCCTCTCCCTCTCGTGGCCTACCGGGCACTGGGTATTCCAACTCCAAAGCCGCTGAATTTGCAAGGAAACAAGTAAAATCAGGGATACAGTTAGACATTAGGCAGCGTGGATTGGTGATTTGGTGCTGCAAATGTTTCAACAGTTCAAAATAAGACATCAACATATAGGTTGACAAGTGGAAAAGCTAAAATTCCTGGACACTTTAAACTGCAACTTTAATATATTGTGATATATATATATGTTGACAAGTGGAAAAGCTGAAATATCCACACATGCAGTAAGTATTTTAGATCTTATGCTTCTAATCAAATCTCTATCACCCAAAAAAAATAGCATGGAATTAATCTCTATCACCCAAACCAGTCAGAAACCACATCTAGGCTCACTAAACTGAATCAGAAAAAAGGAGAACAAAATAGGGGGAAGCCTACCTTGACAGTGATAGTGGGACTCATAAATCATGCAGTAGTTAGCGAGCACCACTATGTTCTACTATCAGTGCTAAGGAAAATGAGATACATAATCAGCTCCAGTGGAGGCAACCACATTGGGTCCTACTAGCAAAAAAGATCACAGCCCATAGCATCCAGAGCATGATCACAGAATTACGGAATTAAGGCCTAAACACTACTACCTTTCTCAAGGTGTTTGGTGACATCCTTATTTGCAGCATTCCAATGGAAAGTTGCAGAAACCACAATTTTTAATTCGCCAAAGGATTTAGCCAGCTTTTTCTGGTTGTTAGAAGCATTTGAAGAGTGGACAAGTGACTCAAGGATCATACTGTAATGATATCGACAAAGAAAAAAATCAAATCACCTAGATATGCATTTAAATCGTACTGTTGGGAGTAGCTTATGATCTGCATTTTTTAAAACCACAAACCTAACATGCTGCTCTAAACATACTAGAAACTTTTGCATACTAGAAACCAGCTCAGAATTTCTAGTCATGGCAATGTTTATGTCATCCATCCACTGGGCCTAACTTGAGGTACAAAATTACTGTTTTTGAAGTCGGACAAAGTGTAGACAATCATTTTGAGAAGTCTATAACTCCTCATAATTGACTCAATCTAAAATATGAAATATGAGTATAGAACTCTTTCGAAGCATAAGCAAATTAACTACAATTCTCTAATACATTGTATCACGATATTCAGAATGTAAGAGCCCAAATAATCGATCTTATCTATACTGTACAGTTTCTGCAGAGCCAACAAAACTTGTATATTAGCAAATAACCTGTTTCCAGTAGTGATTGCAAGATCTAAGTTTAGTTGCTTTTCTTGCACATTCTCTGTCTGACACTACCCCAACACCTGCATCATAGCGCCTGACTAGTGATCAGACTGAGATCAATAGGTCATGTCTGTTTGATGCTCTGTAAAGTAACCAGCTGCTGTCGAGAAGTCTCATTGCCTGAAATCGTAAAAAATAAGAACAATCATAAATAATATGATGCTATAACAGGAACAGGTATGAGATTTACGAGGAATAAAATTATGAATTGACCAGTTGAAGGCTTGTCAGCAATCTGCATCTTGTTGGCCGAGTCACGGCAAAAGAAAATCACGCCCTAACCGGCAGGCATTGCTGATGAATTGACATAGTTAGGGTAGTAATCTGTTGGGTGCTTGACGGTAAAACTAGAAACCAATTTTTTAATCAAGATTGACGAATAGCAGCAATAGAAATCGCAAGATCAGCTAGCAAATTGGTATAGGTCATAGATGCATGCAGCCCAGGTGTGCAGAGACTCGCACACAGGCACCGAGGAATTTTCATCAAGATCTACTCAAAATAAGAATCAGTAAATCACTTGGAAGATAAAAAAAGGTACGGATCATCTATAACACGAATTGGACCAGCAGAAGCTGCTCGTCTGCCCGAATATGCACTCGAGTCGTCGCACATTATATGGATTAAACAAATCATATGTCAAGACCACCATGAACTAATTGTCATTGTTGTCTGCATTCATGGGACAATGCTAGAAGGAAAATCGAAATACGTATACAGTGAAGCAATAGTACTCACATATATAATATATTCTAAAGGAATAATCTATGCTAATCTGATGGGAGTGGCCTCCAGGTTGAACGAGTACCATAATATAGTTACCAGAACGTGTA